TTTGCAGATTCTTTGAATGATTTACAATAATATGGCCGAGAACGTTTTTCTTGGAAAATTCATGCCCGCGTGGATGTCATCCATATAATCAAATAAACATGGCCTTAAGTTAAGAACGTCGACAGGCCTCCCTGATCATGATTTGTTTTTGTTCCGTCGCAGGTCATGTTCAGAAAAAACCTTCCCGTCGCACTATTTATCTTGTTAAGGTGGTGATGATGGTTACGTTTTGGCAATGTGGAAACTTCGTGCTCTGGCAGCGAAAGGTTTTTCCCCAGAGCAAAACCACTGTCCAACGAAAGCAAACTGTTATAGACTTCTAGTGTCTGTGTCTATTTCCAGGCATGTGGGTCCGCCTTGCTGGCGCTAGTTTGTTCAGCTAGTCTTCAAGATGAAAAATCGTAAGGATTGTTAGTGTAGTTTGTTTGAGCCATTATTTATACGCCTGGCATAGCCTCTTTGGGGCTATTTCAAACACTTCAAGTATGAAATCATAAAAATGACAAAGTGTTCCACGAAATGACAGTGAATGTCAATATAAGATAGATTTCTTCATCCAGAATCTTTTTGTTTTGCCGCTCTGAAATTGTATGGATGACTTTAAAGTCAGTCTAAGCTATGATAATATTGACGTTTTGAGTAGTTGAGCAGCATTATCGGGGCGAGAAAAATAAGATAAAAGCTACGGAACAGGAGGTGCACTTTAAGGAATGAATGATGGCGTCTCTCAGACTACTTTGCAGCTCTTCCAGACGTCTTCTATATAAAAGGTGCCAGTTCTGTTTTGACCCCAATCATATCTTCTGAGTGATTCGCAGCCACTAAACATGTATGCAGCCACTAAGGATGGGGTTTAACGTATTGAAGTCTGCGTATTGGATTAGGCTACTCTGCTTGGGTCGACATAAAACTCGCAAAAATTGAATCATGTTGAATACGAACATTCTTCAAGGCCCCCTAGGTCCTTATTTTGCTTCAATTATGAAATGATGACAAAAAGAAGTGTTAAGAAATGGCAGTAAATTTATGCCAATATCAGATTTTCTCGTCTAGAATTATTATTTTCTTGTTTTGGCGACCTGAAATGTCATTGGATGTCTTTATATTTGCATCAAGTAGTATATGCATACGGTGATCAGTCAAAGCACAATCTATATTTTCCTTCTCTTGAATTTATTAGAAAGTGCTGCTCGGAACAGAACACAGAATACGTTATACTCGCAATAATCATATGTCTTCAATACTATACTTTATATACTGCAATAGTTGTCTATTTGGCAAGCAGTCATCCTAGTTTACAAAATGTACTTACTTAACAAATAGACAAACACATCGACAACTTCTGTACGGAAAAAACTGTAACCCTGTGTTGTTGAAACCTGTTAATGTCGCGCATAAATAATGTACTTCACATCGACTCTCCAAGCAGAGGTTTGGGCTTTCGTGTACTAGTATTTAGGCTTTCGGAGAAAGCCCTGTAAAAGCATAAAAACACACCAAAAATAAGCCAAAGCTCAAACCTCTGCTTGGAGAATACTTTACATAAGCGAGGACAATATATAACGATATAAATGACGAAAATCAAAATTCAAACGTTTTCTATTTGGTAGGTGTTATATAAAGAACTCTGACTGAAGAGTGACACGTGGATTACGTCACATTTTCCCCAATCCTTGGTTCGTCCGAAAGATTGAGTCGCTGGGAAGGCGGGAAAGGTTGTTGCCCTGCTTATATATTGTCTGCAAAACAGGCCGGCGGCGTTTGGTTCCACATGCCTTGTGACCTGGCCTATACATCAAAATTAGTCTGACAGAATGTCGCAGTAACAGATCTTATCAACAATAGGAGCAGCGATGTGTTGTGTGCATGCATGATTTGTTTGATGATTTTTATGACTATGATGATTATTTTATGACTATGATGATTTTTATGATTTTTGAAGGTTATTACGATTATGGTGAGTTTCATTAGGACTGTTTATGGTTATTCTGATTTATGATTATTATCATGTTTTATTGGTATTATTATCTTTTTTATGTTTTTATTGTAATGATTCGAAGATCCATTCTTTGCTCTTTGAAATTGCCATCTTTTTGACAAGGAATGATTGATTCCCTAACAATCATTCTTTTGAACGTCTAATTTTCTTCTCAACCTGGAGTTCCAACTGTAATCCTAAGAAAAAAATGCAAATCTAGTTGAACTACGTGATTGCCCGTATGACATACGGTCCTAATCCATGGGCTACTACAAATGCCAACGGTTAAATCCCGACGCAGTCAAATACTCTACATTCGTTTATTTCTTCTGGGCCTTTAATGGCGATAGAAGGTTTCGCGACGTTTAGAATTTCGCGGTTGCGACAGTATTGTAGTACAGTAGCAACAAAATAGCATTCACGATAGTTAAACCTCCGCGAACATTTCAAGATTTACAGTAAGGTTGTAGTAGTAGCAGCAACAGTAACAGCAGTAGAAGTAGTAATATTGGCAGTAGGTATGTATAAGTAGTAGGAGTAATAGTAATAGTAGTAGTAGTAGTAGTAGTAGTAGTAGTAGTAGTAGTAGTAGTAGTAGTAGGAGTAGTAGGAGTAGTAGTAGTAGTAGTAGTAGAAGTAGTAGTAGTAGTAGAAGTAGAAGTAGAAGTAGAAGTAGTAGTAGTAGGTAGTAGTCAGTAGAAGAATGGTGTATATCTCTAAAACGACATCCCAGTTGCGGCAGTAGGGTCGAATTGTCAGGCTTGTTTACATTATAAGGGAGCACATTGCATTATCACTAGCACTAAGCATTACTAAGCGTAAGTACGCTTTGCCTGCACCCACCACTTACGTGTACCTGCAGACTTAAACGCATCAGTTATTACCAGATGTACAGTAAATGTCACCTGGGTCCGATTTCAAATGTAACCGTATGACGATATTGCGGTTATCAAAACACACGTAACCATGGTTACCGATGGGCAACCTACGTCATTGTGACGTCAGATATTAAGATCACTGGGAAAATGCATGTATTAACAGAATAACCGAGAAATACACCACAATGAATACAAAACAAAAAAAATAAACTATGCTCTAATCTCTGAGAAAATCATACGCACTAATTAACACTAATTAACTACTCTAATTAACAAAAACGAGCATTCTTGTAAGACGTACTGCGCCTGCGCGAAAAGGAAACCCGGATGTTTTGACGGTTTTCTTTTGATGTTTGGTTAAGGTTTTCATATAATTTCCGACACAACGTTTAAAAACTACACACCATTTGAGAACTATAGACCGGATGTCACCCTTAAATACTGTACACGGATATGACATTAAAAGACACCGTTCTGCCGAAGTGCTATGCAGAATACATAAAGGGTTCGCTCAGGTGGAATACGTTACGTGCTACACATTAGACTAGAAAGGCGGCAAAACATCGTATTTGAAATCATATCCGTACACATGTGATATAGATATGGCAAACAAAGGATAATGACTTGATGAAGTGTAGTTTACACAACAAAACAGGCGGCGAAATTGTTTTGACGCGTTTTTGGCAAGTATATTAAACCAAGATGTCTCTGATTGAACGGGTGAATTTTTCTGCTTTGTATTCTGGAGATATTGAGCGGAATGACAACATACATCAGAGGTGGCTGTTGAGTGATCAGTATTCACGGTGTGAATGTATATATAGACATGGCTTCTCCATATCAGTGGTTTGTTTGGTCAAAAACAGTGTCCTAACAATAGCAGCCTTAGGACTGAAATATTACATCAAGTTAAAATCGCATCGTAGTACAACTTAAACAGTAATTTTAGCCGTTAAAATAGAAATTTTAAACATTGTATCAAAATATATTAATATTCAAATATATGAATATTTTTGTATATCATGTAAAGTCATTAAGGCCACACCAAGTAAATTTTATGGATGACGTCCTTTGGAGACCCTAAATCTAATGCGAGAGGGCGAAAAAAAAACAAGAAGGGCCCTAAAAAACAAGATGCCTAGATTAGAAATATACTAAGAGACGACAAATGTTAGGACACAAAATGAATGAGGTGACAGTGTAGCAAGCAAGAAGTCTTTTCTTCTTCATCAAAACAGCAATAAATCAGGTGGAACAGTGGACAGTGAAAAATTTTCTGTTATTGACAGGATGGTCCTGTCAATAGACACTTTCTTCGCGTTGCGGGTTTCATGTCAATCTGACGATTTGCGACACTGTCGTGACTCTTTGGTCATAGTTACAGGAAGCAAAATTTCTTGTTTTTTTTTCTAGGAAGAGGCCAAAATCAATGCGCGCGAGGACGTCATCCATAAAATTTACTTGGTGTGGCCTAATATAAAATATCCTCATCATTTCCGGGTACACTGCATTGATTATTAAGAACACTAAAATATAACTGAAGTCTTTACAGTTCTATGAAAATCCCACGTAGAAAATCCAGCACAACTGACAATGCTACGTGTATAGCAGGCGGATCATGAAAGGTAGAGCATTGTTCACATTTGCCGGATATACACCTGAAGCAAAGATAGATTACACAGAAAAGAAGATAACACATGAACGATACACCAATTGCTTTCATCAGGCCAGCTTACTTAACTGCACGTCGTGCTTAGCTGAGGGTTCAGTGACTTTTATAAAGCATTTAAAATTAGCACTTCTACCTGTTGCACCACTATGTAACGACCGGGCATTGTACTGGGTGAAACCATTTTCTTGAAGGGGTTCTTTGTTGTGTACATATTTTCTTATCAGCAGCCAGGTATGTGTCAAGATGCATGCAGAATTCCTTGCAGAACTAATTGATTGGGACTTGAGTCTGTAACATTTTGGGGGGATTCAGAAATAGGAGGAAACACCAGGGAAATTTGATCCGTTTCTCAAGGTCGTTGCTGTCATATTTATCGCTCTCGCACTTAGCTTACCTGTGTTAAGCCCCGCCCACTGCTGACAGTGTTTACAATGACAGTATCATGTGACGTGGGGCCTGGTTGGCCCCTGCACGCAAGTCTCCACGTCCCTAAGAATCCCACCTCTTTTACCTTCAAAATACGTATATATTGAGACACAGCTTGCAGTAGAGGTTGTATCAGAGAGTGTGGCTCCTCCCCGTTCATGTTTAAGAGGGCTATGCTCTGTCAGCGGATTGGCTGTGCGGCGGCGGCCGGCGCGGTGTACATGTAGGTGTGCTGCTAACGCAGTACAGCGCGCTTGCCTCTCGCACACTCTCGCCAGACCGGGGGAGAACACAGCTCCTAAGTGAGCTGTCACGTCTCGTTTTCCCCGATGGCTGGGACTGCCGCTGTCCGCCCGGGCAGCCTGCTACTCCTCCTGGTGCTGTACACCGCTCCCAAGCCACTAGCAGGTGAGTACAGTACCTGAGCGCCCGGCGGCGTGCTTCTTACAAGGGGGAGGGTGAGCTGTGCAAAGAAAGAGCAACAGGTTGGCGCTCTTCGCGTCTTGAGTTATACCGTGCGTGCGGCGGGGGACACTCTCGGTGTTACAAGATAGTCTGCCGCATGCGAATCAAGTCTCCCCGCCGGTGTAACCTATCATATACCGGCGTGTTGTGTTAACTACATTCACACGTAGCCAGACAGGTTAACGACATGCATGATATAGACTGCACAACTGACCTATTTTACGATAGGGATCTATTGTTACATAGATAGTATGCAAGGATTGAAGCTTTATTGGATGGGTATGACACTTTGAACACACAATTTAACCGCCTCTGCAGTAGCCGAATCGTTAACTTAGAGCTACCGGCAACAGCAATGCAAGCCCAAGCATGAGGTATTCTCACACAAACGTACTGCATGCACAAACATTTGATGCGAGGACAGACCGTTTTATTTGTATCCCATATGTGTTGCGGCGTCAGGACGCATTATGCTGGTCGATAATTTACTGTCTCTTTGTTCTTTCCTCTAACTCTTGAGGACCTGGTGGTCTTCTATACACGTTGAACCTCTTATTTTCTCACCGCGCGTAGCTAGGAGCCACTTACGTAAAGGTCGAATCTCTTTCTAGGGACACAGCAATTTACTTTTGTAGCAATGTACTTTTGATTGGAACATTTTATTAAAATAAAGACAAACATAGATTGTAGCAATGCTCACTTTTTATGTTAGCTTATGGATCATCTAACAACAGAGAATTTTTGAAAATGTTAATGTTTTTGCCATTAAGACTTGTTGCATATTGCTGTCCAGCAGATGGGCTAAATGCACATGTGACCATATGTGGTCTAGAGGATAAAACATAGGGTATAGGACACTGAAATACTAAATACTAACTCTGAATACTAAAACTCCATGCACTAAAACACTACTGTATACTGTTGTTGATCTACTGTTAATCACGGTTTCTTCTCTCTTCTTGAAACACATGGAGACATAACTACATACTTTGTGAACTATATGTTCATTCTTGCATGACATGAGGTATGTGAAAGTGTCCTGCTGTGTTCTGACATTTTCTTGCATCTTTTGTTTAATTGTAATGTCTCGAAGAATAGCGATTGGCGTTTATTTTCATATAGGGTATAACCAAGTAAAGAAACGTGTCTTGTTTTTAACATAGAAATGATCAGAGTGGCACAGATAGGGTTTGTAGTGCACAAGGTTTCTTCCCTCGCTGAGACGAGTTTAATGAAAAATTTTAATGGGTCAAAGATCACGAGACTTATCGCTTGTCTTGAAGTGGACATGTACAACCGCTTGGTGCACGTGAGAGCCCTAAGGCTAAACGGTGCAAAAATTGCTGGTCACGATATGCGTGCTGTGAAAACCCGAGCAAGTACATATAAGAGGCCGCTTACGATTCGTCCTATGTAGGTCGTCTGGCGATTTTAATATCGTAGGATTTTGACTGTGGACAAGGATCTAACTACCATTAACTATCTCAGATCGTCGTTGGCTGGGTCTGTCATAGCCTGGTTGTAAAATATTCTTCGACATTGAAATCGTACGGCGGTAAAGCTTTAAAAACAATGTTTATAGTTAGATGTTCAAGGGTTAGGTGTAAGAAGTCGTTCGGTGTGATGTAGTCATCTGCCGCCGCGCCGCGTACCTGCGAAGCTGGTGTGTTACGCCGAAGGGCGGTTATACCGGCTATACAGATACAGATACAGACGGCTTACGCCAAATGTGATTGCACCGTATAAGTAGCGAAGTAAAACTATATTCACCATGCTATAAGATATTCTTGTATCTGTACATAGCTCTAGAACTTTTGTTTAACGATAATGTGTGATTTTTTATCCATCTAATCGTGTCACAGATAAATGCCGACTCAACTACAGACTCCTCTAGTAAACTGACGAAAATTCTAATAGTGGATGCTACTAGCTTGAACTGAAATCTGACAGTTTTCAAAATCTATCCTGTTGCTTGAGCAACTGTTTTGTTGTGTATTAGTATTACCAGGATGGTTAACATTTACATTGTTTATGTGTTAAAGTGCTTTTTAAATGCTGCGGTCATGATTGTAACAAATGCAGGAGACACAAACATGCGATGATAGTAGCGCTCTAGGTAGTATATAGTATATATGGACAGAGGATTACAACAACAAGACCTTCCAGCTGCAATGGAAGATCGTACTGTGTGGCGTCGTGTCGTGCAGGAGCTTGCCCCGTCCCCCAGCCAGGGTGTCGACAGATGATGATGATGATATAGTATATAGTATATAGTATATAGTATATAGCCTATCATTGCTGATTCCATCTTCGTACATTGCTCTACAATCATATGCAGATCTCTTAAAATATCATGGATTCAGTAAACCGGCACGCGTGATTACAAGGAATAAGCTAAGGGTCTAGTTAGTACAATCCCAAACAAGCCGTCAGGGGCCCCAAAATCTAATTATTTCGAGTTTACATCAAGGCCTTATGACTAACCAGATATCAGGACAATCCATCAAAGCCTTCTCGAGTTATCGTGTTCACACACACACACACACACACACACACACTAGACACTAGACACAGAGGGAGGGAGGGGGCGAACACCACCAAAAACATCGGGACGGTGGATATTCATGTCACCCTTGCCCGTAAGAATCCTAAAGATAGCTCTAGCTTATTTTTTGTCTGAAGCCCACACACTGCAAATGACCTATTACACCTCTACCAGCTTCAGAATAAGCGAAAGCCAGAACCTAGCGTCTGATTCTACACCTAACGATTCAACCTATAACGCTCCGGGATGATAGATTGAGGCGCCTTTTGTCTATGCCGGCGTATTTCTTGGAAGACTTGTCATAGATATCTCGACTCTCAAGGTCGAACGCTTTCTACAAATCATAGACATTGGAATTAACTACAGAATCCTTAACTTTGTCTGTTTGAATCATTCTTTATTCATATGAGAAGCTTAAATCGACCTACAGGCCATTTTTCATTGAGGTCATGAGGGGAGAGGGAAGGCTCAAACAAAATATATAAAAAAGAAAAGTTTTATTGAAAGTTTAGAACCACACTCTCTAGTCTTTTCATCTACACATCTTGCAGTAAAAACAGTTACACCCAAAATCAAAAGCCTGTAGGGCACTGACATAAGCTGAGGTACAATTTTGAGTGTGCATTCTAACCGGCGATATCTCGAGCTCTCTAGATCTCTAGACATATCAACTAGAAAACACACACACACACAAAGAAAGTTTGACTTGAACTGGCGGTGACCCGTAGTTTTGCCCAGACATAACTTTTCGAACTTGCAGCACTCAGGCGAGGACGCTCCGATAGATAACGGCACGCAATTTCCGGACAAAGGGCAGACATGAGAGAGAGACTGCAGGCTACGAGACAGCTCGCTTATCTCGGAAAACATTGTGTGCAAACACCTGGCACTACTGCGGGCCATAACAACGTTAACCCAGAATATAGTATCACACACCATCACGTTCGTTCTTAGGATACTTTTCCACTGGATGCAGACGTCGACCGTTGGGCGACTAAAATTGGATTTCTCTGACTCTTGATTTTTCATAACTTGAATATGATACACGCTGCAAAGGATTAAAACACAGCAACGCACACAAAAATATTTACAAAATTCGTTCTATATGTGACGAAATTGGTTGAATGGTCTGTCAATATTTGGTCGCGGCCTCAGTGGAAATGGGGTGTTATTATTCCTTGTCACTGAGATTGTTGAGCAACTAGCTATTTTTGGATTAGTACGATCTATGACTTGAGAAATTTTTTATTTGCAAAATCATGCCCGGAGGCTTTGTTGCTTTTACAGAGTCAAAGATAGATTCAAAGATATTATCAAAGATATTATCCATGATGTTAGTATCCTAGTACGATTTTAAGACGCAAAAAAACACCCAAAGCTTACAAAATTCACTTCTTTATCAATGAAATTTGTTTGGTCGCTGAATCGTTGCCCAACAGTCGCTGCCAAAATGGCTAGAAGACCTAAGTAACGACCAGTATAGAGAATGGCATCCCGAGGGTACGTTGTCCATTATGTCAATGTGTGCCCTCGGCAGCTCGTTCTGTTTCTTGCCCCTCGCTAGCCTAATGTCTAGAAATAATGTGGAGCGATGTTACGACCACTTTGTCACAGAGTACGTGCGGGTATCTCGTTACCAACAATCTCCCGTGCCATCTGTTAAAGCCCCCTAACATCGCCACTTATCGTCCTTCTGCCATACGCATTTTCTTCCACACAGACATCTAAAGCCTGCTAAAGGCCAGCGCGATATTTTCCCCTCTCCCTGTAGGCAGCAGACCAATCAAAAGCGTTAACAGTGTTTCATATTCAGAAAAATGCTTACACAACCGATCCGCATGTTTTTGGAAGACATTCAGCTCCAGGCGCGTGGCTAGAAGCCGAACACTTTAAGCATTTCTTTTTGATCTTTCCCAGACTCATTTTGCCCTGAATGTGCAGGTAGTTGCATCACAATGTTTGAATGCTGAAGAGTTCAATTGTTTACATGTCCACTTTAAGATGTGGATCTGTGATACGTTCGTATAAATATTCTTCACATTACATCAAGGACTTAAAAATAATGTTGAAGACCTTACATTAGTTCATTAAGTATCAGGAGCCACTGTACGTAGAAAACAAGATAAAATGTTTCATGTCATACATTTTTTTATTGATTTTACCAGTAGATCACACTCCCAAGTTTTTTTTTTTCAGGTGTCCTTACATACAGCATTATAGAACAAGAAACGGTAATTAAGCTGGAAATATGTTTCAAAGAAAGAAAAAGAATGCAGGAAATATCTAGTCTATATTTCTGTATATAGAACAAGACACGGTAGTTAAGCTGGATATATATATGTTTCAAATAAAAGAATGCAGCAAATATATGTTTCAAATAAAAGAATGCAGGAAATAT